ACGGCGGGAAAAAAAAACCGGGGTTTAAGGTTTTTAACCGGTTTTTTTTTTTTTTCCAACCCAAACTTTTTTTTTTTTTTTTTTTTTTTTTTTTGCATTAATCTCGGTTTTCTTTAACAGTTTGACAAAACTGAGCATACCTGTAGATGGTAAATACTTTTCACAGCTTGTGTGTGTGCATCTTCCCTTATGCTCAAACTCCTCCAAGATCTTGTTTAACTTTTCATCTGAAACCTTGGCCCATTTTCCACCCCCCCCCCCCCATTTCTTAAAAGTTTTTCCACCTCCCACCGAGACCCAATCCATCAGCGCCGAAACTCCAAGAGGGGACACGAAGCCAAAATGATCTCTTTGTGTTTCTCTGTTGCAGATATATAAAAAATCATTAAAAAGGTGCAATGGGGCGACTGAGAGGGAACGGAGAGCAGTAAAAATGAAGAGTGAAAGTGTGGAACGTGAGGAGGTAAAGAAAAATCGCTGCGAAAGAGCAGGACGGGAAGAAGGAAAGGAAGCCGAAAACGAGACACAGATGGATGATCGTGTCAGGGAAGCGGAACATAGCAGCGCCGATAAGAGGAGGAAGCACAACACGATGTATACCTGAAAAATAATAAGTGACAGTGAGCTGTCAGGGTGAGTGAAAATGAGACAAAATGAAATGATGGGTGAGAAAAAGAGCGCTCTGTAAGTGTGTGTGTGTGTGTGTGTGTGTGTGTGTAAAAAAGAAAGCAGTATGTTCCATTTTGTTCCGTCCCTGAGAGTGTGGATCAGAATCAGGCTGAATAATAACACTGATGTGTAGAGGAGATGTCCATCTGGCAGGCGGCAACTCAGAGTTCCTTCATCTTCTGTTAGATCAACAATAATGTCTTAAAATAATAATAATAATAATAAAAAACGACATTTTTCTCTTTAATTATGCCCTCCATCTGGACTCTACTGTCATCCACACCCACACTTAAACAAAAAAAAAAGAAGAAAAAAAAGTTGTTTTTCAGAGGAAAAGCTGTTTCATTTAACTTCTACACCATCTTATTATTTGGGCTTGTTTCACAGTCGCAGAACCTGAGGAACTTGACATTGTTAAGCAGATCCAGAGTTCCTGTTTGGACATAATTTGCTTAATAACGAAGCAATCTGTTTGACAGAAGCTTGGATGGAAGTTTTTCATCTACAGCCCAATGATCCCAAAAGAAAAAAAAAAAAAAAAAAAAAAGCAGCAGATCGTAACAAAATGGCTGAAAAAGAAGCGAATTAAGGTGTTGCAACGGCTCAGTCAAAGTCCAGAATAAAAAGAAGAAACAAACGACTGCAAATCTCAAAGAGCTGCAGTAATGTTGGACTGAGCTGTCACTGTAAATGTTGTTTGTAGTTACTGCTGTTAAATTGATGACTTAATCACTTGCCTAATAAATATTACATGGTGGAATATGTTAAGTATTAACAGATGAAGTTAAATACTTTAGAGCTTAAAAAGTTGGTTAATGATCACTTTCATTACGTCCTGACATAAGGGTGTATTTTCTTTGATGTCAGGACAATGACTTATATCAAAAGTAGTTTTAATCCATTTGCTTTCTTGCATTTCAGCTTCTGAGCCGATCTAGTGAACTCACCTTGCGCTTGCGCGGGATGGGCTCGTCGAACAGCAGACTGCTGCCGTCCTGCTCGTCCAGACTCGGGTCCTCCGCCCCCGCCGGGTTGGACCCCACGCCGCCCACGCTTGGCACACGGAAGGGCTTGAAGCTGTCGGCAGAGAGCGGCGGCGAAGGCGTGGACGGATTGGACTGGTCGCTGGGCGCGGACCAGCTCCAGTAGCCTCCCGAGGAGCTGTTGCTGGACGGGGTGAAGGGCCCAGCGGAGCCGTTGTCCTTCCACGAACCGCTCAGGCCCTCTGCGGAGACGAAGGAGGGACGGGGCAGAGGGGCGGAGAGGGAAGCGGGTTGACACAGCAATAAGACGATGGACATGGCTTGAGATGTTTCAGACTGCGGTATGGAGGAATATTTTTAAGAGTCCACCAAAAAATACTCTTCATCATAACTCAGAGTTTTAGATATATTTGAATAACTCTCATAGTGAACAATATATTTTAAAAACTATACAATTATATAATTGTGGTATACGTGCCATTAAAATGATTTTAAAAAAAGTTTCTAAATGTGGAAACTAACGGTTGTTCCCCCAAAGTCTTGCGACAAAAATCGGTTCTTAGAATTGTTGACTCACAGGGACATTTCTTGATTTTATTTTTAAATCATGTTTTCTATTCCACTTCACAAAATAACACAAGTAAAAAAACAAACAAAAAAACACCTAGAGAAGTTTGTAGTTCCAACTAAACAAAACATGGGAAAGGAATACTTCTGTAAGTCGTTGCGCTTTACATGGATGACAGAGAGAGGAGAGTCACGCAAGTTCAACTTCATTTCCACTTCACACAGACGGAGCCCGAACCTATACGGTTAACTTCCCCGTTCTGTGATTCCACCGAGACAATAACAAGGTCTTGCTTTTACAGATCAAAGAAGCATTTCCTTTGAATACCAACTACAAACGACATCTCATTTTAGCAAAAAACGATACAAGCCGGGCGAAGCGTTGAGTATCTGTGTGTGTATTTAACAGTTAGTGAGAGAGACCCAGTTTTGTTCAGTAAACAGCTTCCCAGCAGCGAGTCTCTTCTCTCGTAATTTTACTTTACAGCAGCAGTACTTTACAAAGACTTCAAAGCGTCTCATCTTTTATGTATAAAAAAAACAAAAAAAATGCGTTTATGTTTGAGGTGGAGAAAAATGAAGTACAATAAGCTAAAATTCAATTATTACAAATGCATTTTCAAGTAAATGTCAGCGTGAACATTCATCTAACATCTGTTGTTGCTCGAGCCTGCCGTCTTTTGTAAAAAAGCTAATTGCACATTTTCAAACGCGTGGGCGTGACGTCTGCGGAAAAACGGCCACTTAAGACCGGGATCTCAAAATCAAGGGACGGATATATGCAGAGAGGCTGGCGTCATGCTTGGTTGAATGGACAATCTTGTGGCGGCGTAGATGGAAAAATTAAAAAATTGCAGCACATGTTTACATTTTGGATTCCTGCCGCTACGTTGAGTGGGCCCAGCTCCAGCATGTGTGTGCTTCTCTGTGGATTTTCCCCAAATTCAACGATGAAGCAATCCAACAAGCACAGCAGGCGGTGGTAATCTATCAGCCGAAGCTTCTGCGTGCATTCACAAGACAACAGCTGTGAGGGAGGGAAAACATCGGCGCGGAGAGGAGCGTACAAATTACCGGGCCGGCGTGAAGCCACGTCTCCGTGTTTTGTGAACGCGGCGAGTCGGCTTCCTTCGTCTAGAGCCGCGTTTGTCGGACGTGCAACTCACCGCTGACTTTGACCGGCGGACTCCTGACCAGCGGGCTGGTGGAGAGGCTCGTCAGCACCATGGCGGCCGTCACTTTGTCCATGTCCACCTCCTCCTCTGACCGTCTGTGAAACAGAACAGAAAGGGAAGAAGTCCTGAGTATCTTCTGATTCCAGACGGTTTATGTTGACCATGAGAACTTATTTGAAAACTTTTTCCACACATGCTGTAAAATTTATCCCACACAATTAAACTATGAACAAAAAAACCCCCCAAAAAATCTGAGAGAAAAACATAAAAAAAATGTTCAATGCTCAAAATTTTAAGCTTAGTTTTATGAACCACATCTGGATGCTTAATTAGGAAAGACACCTGTAGAGCTGCACAAAGTATCTAATTGCAACATCACTGCGTGCAATACTGCAAAAGTGCAAAGAACTCATCGGATTAAATTTTTGTTATATTCATCTTATCCTTATGATTTCTGGTCTGTTTACTCAACAGCCCTGAACGCGTCAGACTGCATGGATATTTCAGTGGCTGGATGTTACTCTAAGGACATTGTGGAGAAAGACGAGAACTGTCGGGTTATTTCCAATTGTTTCCATCGTTTAAATATTAATCAGTTGTATCGCATTTCCATGCTTTCCTTAAATCATGCAGCTTACTGATAATTTCAGAAAGAACGCCGACTTAAAAAAAAAAACACAATGTGTGCTTGTGTTTCTCGCGTCCTTCAGCCAGATGTTTCAGATAAGACGCAGAAACTTGTGGTCTGCAGACTACTGCTCTGTCTGCAACATACGCCACTAATTACATTCAAGTGTTTGTTTTGTTAATCCCTTTGTGAGTGACTGATGCAATTGCTCAGACCCCACTGGAAATATCCAAGAGCCAGAATGTGGTGTTTTGCAGAGACCAAAATAAATTATAAATATTTGCTTTGTCTAAGTGAAATGGACAAACCGAAGCCGAGTAGATGGATGTCTTTAAACCTCTGGCACGCACCAGTCCTACGAGTAAAACACAATCTGTGATCAAAAGAGATGTCAATACCTTCATCGCCGACGCTCTTCTACCTGAGCTGTAATCTCACCATTAATAAGACAAGCACCGTGCATTCAAACGCGTCGGTCTTTGATGGTGTGTGGATGTCAAGCCATCACACACGATCCGTGGAGGAACAAGACATCAGCCAGCTCAGATTTTCATAACAGACGAGTTTAAAAAAAAAAAAAACAACCCAACAACAACCGCGTCTGCGCTGCGACGCGTACAGTAGGAGCAACGTTGAAACGAACACCCTGTTGTTTACTTGAGCAAGAAAATTCCAACAAAACCAAACCAATGTCCGATTTGTGTGGACCAAACCAGTTTGAAGTTGCAACCACATTAAGTCACCGACTTGCTGTGGTTGCAGCAGTGGTCACATCAGTGGTGATCATTTACTCCAAACATGGCGGTTCATTATTTTTGAACATTTAAAGGAAGAGCAACTTTGAACCAAAAACGGCTCAAACCGGTTGAAGAAATCTATTTTCAGAAGAAAACTGGATGACGGAGTGTGACTTCATAAACACATATCTATGTATTCTAGGTGGATTTTCAAGATTAGTAAAAATGTTTTCAATTACACAAATAGTTGATCAGGTCAAGTTTTTAACATACCTAACAGAAATTGGATTTGATACTTCTATACACGAGTTTCCATTTGAACTCTATTTGTATTTTTTAATCGTAATTTCAAGAATAAATGACAATGTTTACTTTGAAAAACAAGGTCAACAGAATGTTTCGATTAAACAATAAATTGGTTCACTGGAATCTTTAAAAAAGAAAACACTACAGCAATAAACAAGGGGGAAAAAAAGGTATTTTGTTTGACATTTATGGAAAAAAAAAATTAAGCATTTTTGTGACCTAATATTAAGTCAAAAGCAAACAACACTATTACAAAGTTCAATGTGATGAACGAGGTTTATTTTTCATAGGCTTAGTGCTTAGATGCACCTGGAGATGAATAAAAATATGCGTTTCAAACTTTACAAATAAGGATAAAACACCAAGCCGAAGTCGTAAACAAGCCCTGAAAGCATCTCCTGCCGTTGCAAGGAAAGGCTGCCCTTGAACACACTGAGGATGACCTCCAAGTGACGGCTTCAGAGAACTTGTTACACAAAGCCTTCAGCTTCAATGCACAATAGAGTCATTTATTTATTATTCAAGGCAAAAACATGCAAGAAAAACTAGTTTTCTGTACAATTGTATATATATATATATATATTTTTTAGCATTAAACACACTTCTAGTTTAAGGTTTGTTGGTGTTTAAATACAGATTAAACTGGCATATTACATGATGCTTAAATAACCGATTACAGCGAGCCTGATCACACTGCCAGATCCGCACTGGAGAGGCTTCTCTTCGTTTCCGTTTGCTCCACTCAGACCTCCGATGGTCACTTTGTGTGTTTCTCCAAATGTGTTTATTGGGCTTTTATTTTGGCAGCCTGAGCTCCAGTGAGAACTGAGGGTCTGTGTTCCCCAGTCCAGAGCTGAGGGGGATTTCCAGAGCTCCCTCCTAAACACAAACAGACCTCAGAGGGATTATTGTCAAGAGCTACTTTCATTTAAGGCTAAACAGTTGAAGCTAATGTTCAAAAGATTCCTAAACAAGGTTTTGTGTCCGTTATCATTAAAAACATGTGGTGTGTAAAAACAATACCGCAGCAGAAACAATGATAAGCCTGTTCTATCAAACTAGACTAATCAAGTGCTACTTAAATCACAGCTTTTTTTTTTTTGGCTTTTGCAATTTCTCATTGTTTGGCATCTGACTGTTTTCAGGTAAGAACTGATACAGTCTGCCAAGGGTTTTTATGAGCTAATCATGAATAAATTGTTAATAGTTGTAATCGTTCTTTGACCTTTGGATCAGGAGTGCACGGATTGGTCAAGCATCAACTGGAAATCTCTACAACGGCTACATTCTTTAAAAACACACTTCCAGAAATCCAGACTTGTTTCTGGAGAGAGTTGAACTTCACCAAGGTTTCCCTTTGATACAGATTCTGGTCATAACCTTCATGGACAACATTTCTAGGTGCAGTCAAGGTGTTGACGGGATCAATTTTGGTTCTGTTGGCTTAATGAGACTGCAATCTCCAGCTTTCCCCTGGAGACGTTCACAGCCAATTATGAAGCGGCCAGGATGAGAATCAGTCCAAAAAGTCCGAGAACATTGTCCTGATCCATACAACAGTGGCGTGTTTTCTCTAGCTTGGAGATAAGGTGCTGTTCCAAGTGAAGGAGTTTAGGTATCTCGATAGGCGGATTGGTGTGGCAAGTACAGTGATGTGTAAGCTGTACTAGTCTGTAAAGACAGAACTGAGTCAAAAGGCCAGTTGATTTATGCTCCTACCCTCATCTATGGTGATGAGCTCTGGGTAGTGACCAAAGAACAAGATTGTTGATACAAGCGACCAATTCACTTTCTGCTGCAGCGTGTGTGGGCTCTTCCTTAGAGATAGGGTGAGACACTCAATCATCTGGGAGGGGCTCAGCGTTGGGGCTGGCCTGGGAACGCCTTGAGATTCCCCCGCAAGGGCTGGCCCAAGAGGCAGTGAGAGGGATGTCATGATGTCCCTGATTACTCTGCTGCCCCTCTGACTTGAATCCAGATTAAGCTCAGGATAATTCATGGATTAATGGAACTTTCCCTCTAAGTTTTTGATCAGAAATGAAAGGATTCTCTTAACCCCCCCCCCCGAAAAACACAAACTTTCTGAAATCTGTAAACTTGAGACAATGAAAAGTTTTCAGTTTCCCCCAAATTATGCCTAAAATGTTGCCCTCTGTCTATGGATAGAACGTAACATTACACCAAAAACATAAATCCGTAAGTAATATTTTAGGAAATGGGCACAAAACCGTTTGTTGACAGGCCCGCATGGAGTAAAGACGTTACGAAATGAGAACGTGTGGATATGAAAAGGCAGTATAAATTGGTAAAAGTTAAATCCAACAAGAGCTGGTGCACAAAACAACAAAAGATTCATTAAATGATTTATTTTTCAAATCACTCGCTCGTTTAACGCATATAAGCACATCTGCTCTGTGAATTTGCAACATAATTCAAGTTGCAGGCAGACTCCTAAAACTTAGCATCTCCTCATTAATACTTCAGTTGTGATTGAATTCCATAATTAAAAGCTTATTTACACGGGCAAAGCACAAGCTATGAGGGAAGAGAGAGAGAGAGAAAAAAAGTGTTGGCCAACAAAGAAAGAGGCTCAGCCTCCATTAGCTGATGGCTAATTTATAACCCTTTCTGCTGCTAAATATGATGTCATTACAGCTTGCACATGAATCAAGAAAGGAAGCTGCACACACAGCTGTCACTTTTCCCCGTAACCCCCTCCGCCCCGCTTCGCTGTAAAACGCTGTCCTGGTCACCTTGGGAGGGCATCGACTGACTGCAGATATTATCTCCACTGCAACAGTGTCAGAAAATAATTACCGACAGATTTGTCTGTCTTGAAAAGCAAACGAGTCGATCTTAGGAAAACAGATTAGGAAGAGTCATAATTAGGATGTGATGTTTTGAGAGAGGGGGGAGAGGTGTGAAAACAAACAAACAAACAAACAAAAAAAAAAACCCAAATCACATCATTAGAGGTTTTGTCAAACTTAAACTGGTTATTATGTATTTAATTAACCTGCGCGTGTGTTTGATGGCTCTGTTAGGTGCATGATGCATGGATTAATGTATTGCTAAGTGAATTCTGAGAAATGAGTTTCATTCGTTTGAACTGTTTGAGTCAGTGTTTTAATCTTCTCACTTTAATCATCTGCAATAAAGCGTGTTCTTGGATCTAACCCCCCCCGAGACTTCCTGGAAGGGACATTATCCAGGATGTATATGGTGGCATTAACACAACTCTGCAGTGGGTGTTAAGAGCTTGTTTACTAAAGCAGATTGTACGAAATAGATCCATGTAATTTCATCTTGCTGCAGGCAGCTCATAAATAGAGAGTAAAATTACACATGAGATGCTGTTAATGTGGTTACAGTCAATGAGAGACTGACGAGACTTGCTTTCTCTAACTAAAACAAACACTTTAAT